TATATAACAAACAATAAACCTGATTCTCTAATTTTTTTCAGATCACTACCCTTAAAAATGTCTGTTAAAAATACTAATGTAAGTTTGCAATTCTTTCTATTGTTAATATCTCGTACAGCTTTCATAATCTCTTTTGCGTCTTCAGTAACGTCCAACATTGTAATCTCGGCCTAAAATTATTAATTATTACCAATTCCATTTAAATAACTATATTTTTGTGATAATTATTTATCTAATCCATATGACATACCTTAGACCTGCAATTATCACACGTAGCTATTTTATTCGAGATGCATTGTTGCCTATCAAATATTTCTCCAAAATAATTAAGCTGTAATGATCTACGACAGTCTGTACGATTTTCACAAAATGCTACCATCTTAAATAAATTATCCATGTGTGTACTAATGACTTGTGGATTTGGATTATCCTGTTCAATCATTTTTCTGATTCTGTGCATGTCTGCATAATGATAAAATAAAATACAATCTGCTATTTCACCGTCACGACCAGCGCGACCACTTTCCTGATAATAGCTTTCTATAGACTTTGGTAAGGCTGCGTGTATTACAAAGCGCACGTTTGGTTTATCGATACCCATTCCAAAGGCTATAGTTGCACATATAACATGTACCTGAAAAAAGTATGTAAACGTGTAATTTTATTAAAAATGCACGCACATATGTCTACATGCACATACACACTTTAATATTTTATACTTTTATAATTACACATTTCATACATGATTTTATACATTATATCAGTGTATATGTACGTGTGTACGTGCATGTATGTATATATTTTGTTGTGTACGCAATATAACAAATGTACTTCATCGGAAATCCATTTTCCTTGGCAGTTGCTTCTTTGAGTATCTGAAAGTCCTGCATGATAACTCAATACTTTAATACCATTTTTTTTCATATGTGCAGCGTAATCTTCGCAATCCTTACGCGATAAACAATATACGATGCCACAAGTATTTTTAAATTTTGTCATTATCATAGCTACGATTTCATCAGAACAATTTTTCCCTTTCTTCGATATTATACTGTACCTCAAGTTAGGCCTATTGAAACTCGACATAAACCTAAAAAATGTAATAATTAATCTTTTTCACAGATAAGAAGTAACGTCATTACTTTGCTGCTCGTTACCTGCTTATTACAATGATTTAGTAATGACATTACGAATTATTTTATAACAGTAATGATAACACCAGAATTGGAAAAGTCAATCGTTACTTGTAACTGATTGAAAAAAATCATTCGTAATTGAAAAAAATAACTCCTAATTTGTAATACGTGTTACTTTTTTATTTATAACTCGTTATGTATACTTTTTTTCAATAAGTAACGCATAATAGTGACAAGCTACTTTTCAAAGCGACTTTTCCGATCTTAGTACAACCTTAGCGTCGTAAAAAATATTGCAACGTTATCATTATCAAAATATTTATTTAAAAAATAACATTAAAATAACGGAAAAATAACATTTCCCAATCCTGAATTTTTTTTAATATAGAGCAACACATGCAAACAAAAATTATACAATCACACACACACACACACACACACACACACACACACACACACACACACACACACAATCAAATATACCATTTTGGATTAGTCATGCCCAACTGATGCAAAATATCTGTTCTAACACGCGGTGTTGCTGTTGCAGTTAGAGCCATTGTTGGTACTTTAGGATAATTGTTCCTGAGACACTTTAATTTTTTATAGTCTGGTCTAAAATCGTGACCCCATTGACTAACGCAATGTGCTTCATCAATAACAAATCTTGTCAACAATTCTCTCTCATACAAAATAGTCAGAGTATTACAAAATTTTTGCGAGGCGGAAATTTTTTCTGGTGTTACATATAATATTTTGAGAGCTGGTTCTTTTTTGGAAAGTTCCCTGTATATCGCCTCTGCTTGATTATCTGTTATAGAGCCAGATAAATGAGCTGCAGGAATCTATAATTTTAAAAAATAAAGAATATATAATAGTAATAGAATATATAATATAATAGTATGTAATAGTATACACATTTCTGTAATGTAAATGAGTATTCTTTTTATATTATGTTTTTACATTATTTCTCTTATTATGTATCTAATAAAGTAATAATCAGAGATGGTAAGTAAAGTAACGCCATTATTTTTATCGCCGCTACTTTTTATAATAACGATCTGATAATGACGTTGCAATTTTTTATGACTGTAACGATAACTAATTAAGCGCTAAGGTTGTGCTACATTGGAAGTCACTTTAAAAAGTAATTTGTTGTCATTATTACGTGTTTATTTACTGAAAAAAAGAATAATTTGTAACGAGTAAAAAGTAACTCATTACAAATGAGTTAATTTCCAAACCTGATGTTAGTCATAAAAAAAATTCGTCAAATTATCAAATTGTTATTATAACAAAGTATCGAAGAAAAGTAATGACATTACAACACGTTATTTGCCGGTAATAATAATATTTTTGGTAATAATAATATCTCTGATAATAATGATATTTTTTCTTACATCAAGTGAGATAAGTTTTTGAACTTGATCTAAAATAAGACTTTTTAATGGTGAGATAACAATAGTTAATCCAATGTTTAAAAGGGCAGGAAGTTGATAACAAAGAGATTTTCCACCGCCAGTCGGCATTAAAATAAAGCAATCAAATCCCAAAAGTGTTGCATTGATAGCTTGCAATTGATTTGGTCTAAAAGTATATAAACCAAATCTCTGCCGAAATATCTAAAATAAAGATAATTAATGTGCAATTATATAACTATATTTTCACTATATTGATCTAATATGTAATCCGACTGTATGAATGAATTATTACAAAATTAATTATATAAAATGACATTATATTTATTCTTTAATAAAGTTATAAAAATAAAAATTACTAAATATAATTATGTACCTTTAACATTTCTTGCGAATGTGAATATGTTAAACTATCAAATTCTCCACTAATACCATCATTTTTATAATTACCAGTAAATTGTCCATATTCCACACTCTTTTTTTCGATTTTTGATTTTGCTTTATCATCAATGCGATAATTGCTATTTAGTGCCACATTATTCAATGACCAATCTACAAATTATTGGAATTATTATTTAGCATGTACAATAAAATGTGAAATAAAAAAGTATATGTATATGTATATGTGTATGTATATATGTATATATGCGCATATGTGTATTACATACATACACACACACACACACACACACACACACACACACTCGCACACACACGCGCGCGCGCACACACACACACACACGCACGCACGCACGCACATATAGTGTCCCATTTTAAAAGATCCACGAAAATATTTCGGAAACACTGCATTAAATCGAAAAATGTTTCAAAAAGTTTTTCAACTTCGAGGGGGACATGAGATGATATAATTTATTTGACCTTGACGAGATCAGGGCAAGGTCACTTTGAATTTTTTAAATGGAATCTCCCATTTTTTATCACATATTCTTAGTTTATCTCAAGAATTTTTCAAAACACTATAATAAAATATTTTTTTATTTTTACATTATTTTTTACATTTTACAAAAATGAATTTTTAGCAAAAATAAAGCAAAAATAAGAAGTACAACCTCTTTCCTTAAAAAAAAAATGAAACACCTCATATATATAAAACTCGTACCTGTAAAATCGTCGTTTATATCTATATTACAATTTTCTCCTAAAGCTGGAAATTGATCTAATTCTTGTGTTAAGGTTTCAACTTTTGCAGTAAATCTTTGGGCGCCTATAAAATATTTTCTCATTGAAAACTAAAAGAAGAAAAGGTTAATGATTTATTCATTACCTGCCATATCTTGAGATTTTTTTTTTTTATTTGTATTAATCTTGTTCTCTTCTAAACTATCCAAGATAGCATTTCTTTGTATAAATCCATCTTTTTCATTACTTGATTGCATTGAAATACTGTCATTAAGTGTATCTTTTATGGAGATACAATCGGAATCTATTGAAGAATTCATTATCTTTGATACTTGTTGGTCTTTTTCCCACATTTCTGCTATTGTTTTAGAAACTTGGATACCTAATATTGTTTTGACAGGTCTTTTTAATTGGAAAGTACTCTTCTTATTTGGAGGTACAATTTCAGGTGGCTTAACTGCTGACATAGCTTCCAAATTATTGGATGCTAAATCGTACTCCTTTGCATTTGTTAAATCTTGAAAATCTATCGTTTTGGATACTGAGGTACATGAAGCAGTAAAACTGTCACAGTCATTTATCAAGCGACCCTCGGACATGCACGAAATTGGTGTCTTAATTGATGTTGACGATGTAGATCTAGGTGTTTCTGGAGATTCGGATACATTCCTTTCATCTTCCTTTTGTAACTTTGATAACTTGGTTTGTACTAAACGTAATTTAGCTTTTATGTGTCGATGCAAACCTTGCAACTTTTTGAAAGAGTCTGCATCGAATTTTGGAAATTGTTCTAATATTGGTAATGGAATTGATTCGAGCGCGACACAAAATTTGTCAAGAACTTCAATTTGAAGTTCCTTTAAATCTTCACGTCTTTCAAGCAATTTGTCTTCTGTAATCTAAAGATAATATCCAAAGAAAGAGAGAGATAACAATTACCTTAAATTTAAACATTTTACATAAAATATTAATTCAAAACATAAAACTTACAGGTATTGTAGACATTACTGATTTCTGTTGAACCAATTCAATCCATGAGCCTAATTGCTTATTTAAACCTAAATCTTTTAAATTCAATCTAATATCAGGACCAACCCAATTATTTCTCTGTAATCTCTCACCATTATATTTAGAGCTAGGAGAGCTACTATCTATATCAGAATCTGAAATTATAGTATCTTTCCTTTCTTTAATGGATATTGTGTCACATTTTTTTGGAGTCCATAAATGCTTATCTTCTGTATTTTTAGGTATTTTTTTAAGTGGGCTTTTGCACGAATCTGAACTGTCTGAATTATCCTGCAATTCAAAATATTGAAATCAAATTATTTTATAATAAATCACTAATGTTTTGTAAATCATAATTTCATAAAATACATGCATATAAATTGACATAATAATATTGTAATTTTATTTATTGATTAGAATTATAATCTTACAAGGTTTATTATCGTGTCTATTGTTATCGAGTCCCCAGCTATCTTCCTTCGTTCATTAAAATACGAATCATTCGACCATTCATTATTTAAAACTTTCTTTTCTGCCACTGATTTTGATATACTAAAAAATATTCAATTACTAATTTAATTTTTTTTTTTAAAGTACAATATTAAAAATACGAAACATATATTACACAATGAAAATTTAAACAATTGAGATGCACATGTATATCTTAATTAGGGCATTTTTACAAAATAAAATAAACTTTGTCTACCTAGTTAGCATATTGTTTTCATTTGTATTCTTTGCCAAAAATTCCACTATCGTAGATTGGGTATTCTTTTGACCAAACACCGACTTTTTTGACATTGTTAGCAACAAATTTTAGACAATTACAAGTGACTACTAGCAGTTTGCTTAAGTTTATTTTACTCGAATACTTTGATATTGAAACAATTATTCTCGGAAGTCATGTAAACACTATTATACGCTACTGTACGCGGTTAAATTCAATTAAAAGCTTGCGGCACATGATACTTGTTTTCCTACTGGATTGCTAGCTCTGAGTATCAATAGCTACGTTCGGCAATGCAAATCTGAGGCGTCGGAGTGCTCTTTTTCTACAGTACACGTGACATATGCTATACTATACGAGTACTCCGATGCCTCAGATTTGTATTATATTACCGAATGCAGCTATCCATGAAACTTTTTTCCTAGGATGAAAAGAGAAAAGTGAAAAATTTCTTCATTAACTTCAATGATTAAAATCTTCATTGGCCTAGGATTTAAACCGGATCAGAACGTAAGACCTAACCAACCAATTACAGTCGAACGACAGAGGAATACTCGGTGGAAACTAGGTTATTTTTCACTTTCCATCCTAGGGATAAAGTTTCATGATTGATACCCAAACTGGATTAAAATCTTGCCATCGTATTGGCTGAGATACTGGCACTGACAGCACCACAGCCAATACAGCAAGATTCTAATCCAGCTAACAATCCAACAGCAAAAAACAAGTGTCGTGTGCCGCAGACTTAACATTTCATTAATCATTATGGTATATCCACACTTTGCCTGGGTCTACAATAGATTTTTAAACCTTATGCCTCCAGCACACCAGTGTGATGTTCGTTGCGCGCGACACGCGATATCTAATGAGTGTATAGCTTTACCGATATTTCCATTCTAAAGAAATATTCTCATTGCGTGTGCCGGAGTTTAGGCTGCTTTCTCGTGCTGATGCTCAACGCTTATTTTCAGCGTCAAAACAGATCATGTGATCAAAATTGATGCTTGGTATTCGTACTACTCTTGCTATCGTAGCGGAAATTGTCGCACAAGTCAATAATTTTACAACCCCTTTTATACACTTGATATGCATATTAATTAATTACCTTATCAAGTGCACGATATAAACTAAGCATTTGTTCTTAAATCGGCCTAAAAAGTAATCTACAATGGCCCTGTTCTTTTTGACTATAACTTTTGCACCACTTCATTTATCTTCTTTTTCTTTCCAGGACGAAAGAAGAGAAACTATCAGACAAATAAATTGCCAATACATCGACTGGTTTCACTAATTACACTAATCGCTAATTACTATTGATGCTTCTGATTGGCTGCTGCGAAACATTTGCGACTGGCGACGGACACTGCTTTCACAGCGTAACTTGCGTTACTCAACCAATCAAATCGTATCAAATTGTATTAGCTACTACGCATCAGTGATGCGCTGTCGTGGAAATTATGACACAGTGGGATGCGTTTCAGAACACAGTTCGATTGTGCACAGTTCCGAAACGCATCTATCTTGAATGTATAAAGGAACCTCTTTCTATCAGCCTGTGTACATACATACAAATACGTGCAAAGTGCGAAGGGTGTTCTCTCTTCTCCTCCTCGTAAAATCAAAATCACTTTTCTTTAATTAAATCTCGCTTTGCGTGCAAAATCTATGTGGAAAACCGTGCTTCGCATAGCAAGTTGTAAACTCATGAGCGATTCCACACGAGTTTGCTACTTTTAACACAGGAGCAGAGCAGGCATTCATTTCCAATGAAAACGGGTCGAATTGAATAAGCCTAATTTCATTAAAATCGAAGATCGGAGGTAAGATTGCGATTCTAAATAAATACTGACCAAAGTACGTATATACATAGCGCTGCGTTAAATTAATGTGACAAATTTCCTAACCTCAATAATCATCAACTTTAAGGGCTACGGCTACCGTACACAAAATGACATAAACTGCATAAGCACATATAGCACAAGACCGCTAGATCAATAATCATCCGACAAAAAAACGCTATATTGATTTGCACAAGATGTTCATTGGCCCAGCGATCTTAGACTGGGAGCACAGTCTCTTATATAACGCATAACACATAGTGCATAAGCAATTGAATCAAAGTGCTTTATTTTCTTTCTTTCCATAAAATAAAGAACTCTGATTTCTTATTCCTCATATTTTATGCGTTATACAAGAATCTGTGTTCTCCGCTTTAGGGTATATCCACACAACTTGCATTGCCGCATAAACGTATACATAAAGAAAATTATCCAATCGCATTTCTCCTATAAGGATGCACGTAAAATGTGATGCAAGTTGTGTAGATATAAGCGGGGAGCACAGACTCTTGCATAACACGTAATGCATAAGAAAATGTACTAATCCAAATCCTCCGTTTCCTTCCTTTCCATTAAATAAAGAATGCTGGTTGGTTCAATTTCTTATGCCTCATGTGTTATGCGTTATGCAAGAGTCTGTGCTCTCTGCTTAATACTCTTATACAGCTCATATCATTTTATGTGTAATGGCCCTAACCCCAGATCTACAATAGATTTTTAAGCTTTAAACTATAAGGAATGGACTAATCGCAATCAATTGTTCTCATCGCATTCGACTGTAGTTAATCAATTTCTTACGACTTAAAGCTTAAAGCACCTATTGTAAATCCGAACAAAGTTATAAAACATTTGAATTTTATTCAAATTTTTTGTTTTTCATGCTAATTTCAATGAATATGTAAAAATTTTACTTTCAAAACTTGTTTGCTTGATATAACTTGTTTTATTATCATTGCAAAATAAACATTTACAAAGATATAATACATAATTCGTGAAATATTCGAAATTGAAAAAGAAATTCTTCCAAAAATGTTAAATAAATCATAAATTATAGAGAAACGCAAAAGTATTGCTATGATTATTTGAGCGAGAAATACAATATTATTGTATAGATTGTGATATGTAATGTTTTTGTTTTAATATCTTTATATTTTGATCAAAATAAACGAAATCTAATAATTAATTCACAAAAATGATTTTATTATATTTTTCTCAAAAAAAGAAACTGGTGTTTTTTATTCATAAAAAATCGTCATTCGATTTAGGTGTTTATATAATTCAACTTTTTCAAGCCAACATAATGTTTTATTATTTTTTCGAAGTACCTTCAACTATCACAACGTAAAAAAATTTTTTCATTCATTTATAAAAAAGTTATAAATTTTTAACCGATATCATGTTTTTCCAAACTCTCATTCATATTTAAATTTATAAAGAATAAGTAAAATATAATCCGACTTCTATTAGGGTAAAAACTACTCGTTAAAGCTTTCACAAGTATATAAGAATTTTCATATATAGTCTGGAATAATAAAAAAATTCATTGTAGACTTTAAAGAGGCTTGTAGCCTCATTTTGTGAATCAAAATTAAAAATTTCATGTTGTCGATGAAGAGTTAAATTATTTCATGATTGTCTTAAAAGCAACATAAACCTATATCGAACATAGTGCAAGGAACCAAATATGTCATTACATCTCCAAACAGCAATTTGATTTTTGTATTATTTTAGTCACATGTAATGTATAATAATTTTTGTTAAAATTAATAAGGAGATTTTTCAGAAATTATTTAATTACTGAAATATAAATGACATTAAATAGTGCTTATATATCCTTTTATATTAACACTTTATAAAAAAATAGTTATAGTATTATTATACTACATATTATACTACATATTTTTATTATTTCCAAAATAAAATATATCAACTTTATACTTTTCTTATCAACAATTTTCAACTTTTCCATCAAATCCATTTTATAAATCAAGGCACATATATGGGATGAGAGTTGAATCTAATATAATGACTACAAATCAACTATTCTTATACATGTTGTATCTGATTAATAATTCTATATTTTTTATAGATTTACTCAAACTCAAAGGAATATCAAGATGACTAGTAAATATCACCATAAACAACGTTTAACACCAAAACATCAAGATTCCCTACGTTTAATATTCTCAGTTTTCACTGCAAACGATATAAGGAACTTGAGTGTAACGAAAATCATAACATCATTATCTTTTAACATTCTTGGACATCCATTAAAGGGTGGATTATACGATCCATCTTTAGGTAAAATATTTTATTTTTAATTTGCTATGCATATACACATATTGATGTGTGCGCGCGCGCGTATGTGTATATGAGAGAGAGAGAGAGAGAGAGAGAGAGAGAGAGAGAGAGAGAGAGATTTTAGAAACAATTATGAAATATTTTTCTTTATTTAAAACATGTTATATTATATATTTAATTGTTCCACAAAATTTTATCAATAATCCTAATTATAATTAGAGTGCGTGCGTGCGGATATTTTTATTATTAACTGAAATGTGTGACAAAAAATTGCTATATTTTTTAATATTTTAATATTTTAAGTTTTAATTTTTTTTAATTTACTATATTCAATTTATTGTAGGCACAATGAAAAACAGTTCGGAGTTATGCAGCACATGTGGACATAATAGTTCCAAGTGTCCAGGTCATTTTGGTCATATAGAATTACCAGTACCTGTTGTCAATCCATTATTCCACAAAGCATTGTCTATGTTGCTTAAATTGTCATGTTTAAGTTGCTTTACATTACAAGTACCATCGTATATCAAGTTATTGCTGTCCGCAAAATTAAAATTACTGTACCAAGGACAACTCAACGATCTTGATGGTTTAGATCACGAAGTAACGTCCATATTATCAAATATTGAAAAAGAAGAAGAACGAACAGAGTATATTCGTAATGTAATTAATACTTATATGCAAAATTTCTTCAATAGAAATAGATACAGCCAAATCATGCCTCAGAATCCTGAAAATCAAGCTAATATAAAGAGTGTCATTATGCAATGGCATGCATATATTGAAAATATACTTAAACAATATGTGAGAACCAATAAAGCTGGGATATGCATGAATTGTCACGATGGTCTTCCAAAAATGTCAACGTTGCAAAACAAGATAATGATAAGTAACAAGGAAATTGTGAAGAATTCTAAAGAAATGCTCTCGTGCGAAGTAGCGCACAAATTGGAAATGATTATGATTATGCCAGATCAATCCAAGAAATACCTACGACAATTATGGCATAACGAAAAAGATTTTCTTAAAATAATTGTACCTTGCTTAGAATTAGTAGATATCGAATATCCTACTGATATATTCTTTTTCGAGGTGATACCTGTACTACCACCGATCGTGCGACCGGTAAATTTTCTTAATGGTCAAATGGTCGAACATCCTCAAACTCATATCTATAAGAGCATTATACAGGATTGTTTAGTCTTAAGAAATGTTATACAAACAATCCAAGATGGAGGTATTGATCACTTACCTCAGGAAGGTCGACTTGTCTTTGAACAAATAAAAGGAATTACAGCAGTTGAAAAGTTGCACAACGCTTGGCAAACGTTACAAAGCAATGTGAATCACTTGATGGATCGCGATATGAACAAATCATCAGAGTCCATCAATGGTCAAGGCTTGAAACAAATTCTTGAAAAAAAAGAAGGTATCATTAGAATGCATATGATGGGTAAAAGAGTGAATTTTGCCGCACGTACAGTTATTACTCCAGATCCTAATTTAAATATCGATGAAATTGGCATTCCTGAGGCTTTTGCCCGCAAATTAACATATCCTACATCTGTAACACCGTGGAATGTTATTGAATTGAGACGATTAGTTTTAAACGGTCCCGATGTTCATCCTGGCGCAGTTATGGTGGAAAATGAAGACGGATCGATACAAGCTATTAGTCGTAACGATTGTACGCAGAGGGAAGCTATCGCGAAACGTCTCTTAACAACGAGCGACAGAACCAACGAATTTATTGGTGTAAAAATAGTACATCGACATCTTCAAAATAGCGATATATTGCTAATAAATAGACAACCGACATTACATAAACCGAGTATAATGGCTCACAAAGCGCGTGTTCTCAAGGGAGAAAAAACTTTACATCTTCATTATGCGAATTGTAAAGCATACAACGCGGACTTCGATGGAGATGAGCTTAACGCTCATTTCCCACAAAATGAATTGGCTAGAAGCGAAAGTTATAACATAGCTAATGTATCCAACCAATACCTCGTGCCAAAAGATGGGACTCCATTGAGTGGCCTTATACAAGATTACATGGTGTCTGGAGTACGACTAACAACTAGAGGTAGATTTTTTTCAAAGGCGCATTACATGCAATTAGTTTATACAGCATTGCCAATAATGCAAAAGGACATAATTCTTTTACCGCCAACTATTATTAAACCGAAAATATTATGGTCGGGTAAACAAATCCTTTCAACAGTCATTATTAATATTATTCCCTCGCATAAAACACGAATCAATTTGGTCTCTAGTACGAAAATTTGTGCGAAAGAATGGCAAACAGGGATATCACGACGTTGGAAATGTGGAACAGAATTTAAAAATTCGATGATCATGTCGGAAGCAGAAGTTATAATTCGACACGGAGAATTATTGTGTGGAGTACTCGATAAAATGCATTACGGTGCGACTCCTTACGGTCTTATTCATTGTATTTACGAATTATATGGGGCAATATGCGCGAATGAAATGTTAAGCGCATTTGGTAGATTATTCCAAATGTTTTTACAGTGCGACGGTTTTACTCTCGGTGTTGAGGACATTCTAATCACTCCAGAAATCAATGAAAAACGTAAAGAAATCATTTCCAATTGTAGAAAAATAGGGGAAACTGTACAAAAATCTATAATAAAAGCATCTAATGATAAACCTATGAACGAAATTCAAGCTAAAATGGAAGAATCTTACTGGAATAATTCAAAATTTCGCGCGCAAGTTGATCAGAAATATAAGAGCACTTTAGACATTTATACTAATGACATTAACAATGTTTGTCTGCTGACGGGACTTTTCAAGAAGTTCCCAAATAATAATTTACAGCTCATGGTGCAATCTGGTGCAAAGGGATCTACGGTTAATACTATGCAAATATCATGTTTGCTCGGTCAAAGTGAATTGGAAGGTAAAAGACCACCGTTAATGATCAGCGGAAAAAGTTTATCAAGTTTCCCACCTTACGATCCAACACCTAGAGCAGGTGGTTTTATCGATGGCAGATTTATGACTGGAATCAAACCCCAGGAATGTTTTTTCCATTGTATGGCGGGACGCGAAGGTCTTATCGATACTGCCGTAAAAACTAGTAGGTCTGGTTATTTACAGAGATGTTTAGTTAAACATCTAGAAGGTTTGATTGTTAGTTACGATGCGACGGTTAGAGACTATGATGGTAGCTTAATTCAGTTTTATTATGGAGAGGATGGTCTCGATGTACCGGGTTCATGTTTTCTAACGAAGGACCAAATCGCATTTCTAGTTGATAATAAAGAGTCTATTATGGATGCAAAGTTATTGGAATATCTGAAAAGAAATGACAAAGAGATTGCGAAAATGATAAAAAAGATCAAAAAATGGAAAAGCAAGAATGGTTCCTCATTGGAAAAGAGGAGGATCAATGAGTTTAGTAAATTCTCTATGGAGAATTCCAATCCGAATGATGTAAAACAAAAAATCATTGATAATCATAGTGGGAGAAGCAAAGCTGCATTATCGCTTATGAGAAAGTGGATAAGAGCAGAAAAGGAACTGAAAGAGTCATATCGTGCACAATGTACTAGATGTCCCGATCCAATAATGTCAAAATACAGGCAAGATATTGAATTTGGAGTATTATCTGAACGGATAGAAAGCTTAATGGATGAATACCTTTCTCGTCCGACAAAAATTAAAAAGTCTGTTTTGAGAGATTTATTATCCATCAAAGTTATGAAAACAATTTGTCCGCCTGGTGAACCAGTTGGTTTATTAGCAGCACAATCTATAGGTGAACCATCTACTCAAATGACTTTGAATACCTTCCATTTTGCAGGACGTGGAGAGATGAACGTGACCTTAGGTATTCCAAGATTACGTGAAATCTTGATGATAGCATCGAAAAACATAAAAACTCCAAGTATGGAAATACCATTCCAAGATAATTTGGAAAATCTTGAAAAACAGGCGAAGAAACTGAGGTTAAAATTAACAAAATGCGTTCTACGCGATGTATTAAAAGACATAAAAATAAGCAGACGAATGGAGGGAAGCCCACACCGAAGATTGGTGCACACTTTAAGAATCAAATATCTTCCTCATAAATACTATAAAGAAGAGTTTACCGTTCATCCGCGGGATGTGATTAAATGTACTGAAGAACAATTTTTCAAGAATATATTCAAGGAAATTAAAAAATTTGCCACTATTTCCAAAGTTTTTTTAAAGTTACATTTCGAAGGAGAAAAAAGACGAATAAACGACGAGGACGCAATAATAGATGAAATTGATCCTGACGAAGTTGTACCGGAAAATCCTGGAAGCAGAACACGGATGGATTTAGGAGAGATGCACGAGTCATCCGATGAGGAGGAAGCCGCGGAAGATGCCGATGCTACAATGACTAAATCATTATTGCGTCATCGAGAGAATCAAGAATATGAAGATCCTGAAGAAGAAGAACAAGAAGAAACTGAAGATATTATATTAAATGATAAGGAAGAAGAGGCAGATGATAATAATAATGCAAATAGAGTTCTCGAGGATAAGGATGATGATGATGATACTAATAAGAAATTATTAAATCATAAAAGGAAGAATAACAATAACAAATCTATCAGCGGGAAGGATCGTGTCTTGGATATGTATGAAAATGCTATGGATTATGAATATGACGAGAATAAACTATCATGGTGTAAATTCACCTTTTGGGTAAGAGTTTAAGCGAAAATTTCTAGTTACAATTTTTCTATTATCCTACAAAGAAATATTATTTAGTTTAACACTCAAATGATTTTAGCCATCACTCACGATATTAAGATGTATTGTTAAAAAATAATATATATTTTATCGAAACAAAAGTGAACGAGAAAAAGGCTCCCTCTGTCTTTTAGCATCCTTATTAAAAAAAACCTTTTATTTATTCTTTACCTATCTAATATAATTAATTATAACTTCTTATTTATTTAATTCAATTACAATTTAAAATTAGAAAATTTTGTCTGATATTACATATAATTTCCAGTTTTCTTCACATAATTTTTCGGAATTTCTATATAAATTTCTCAACTTTTCATTTCTATATATTTACTTTTATAACTTTTTCATAAATTTCTTATTGTTAGATTTTTTAAATACAAATTGGAACACTTCAGAAAAGCTGAAAAAGTCTACATTTTGATTAGAATTCTAAAGTAAAATAACGGATATCTTGTTTAGAACTCTTTGTGAACTTTGAAATATTCTAAAATTTCTCATTCTATAATTAAAAAAAAAAACTTAGAAAATTTAAGGCTGATATTGTCGATTGATAGTCGAGTCTTAGATTCTTACATTTAAAATCTACACAATTGCTCGATCTATAATTGCGTAAACATAAACATAAGTGATTGTGAAATATTGTAAAGTGCAATTTTATCGATTATAAAAATGGTTGTGTGTTATAAAAGATGGTTCAGTTTTTATCTATCCGCGCTGTTATGTATTGTTAAATTTTAAACAGGCATATAATAATTTATAAATTCGATTTCGTAATATAATAGCAGTATATATACAACAAAAACACTTTCTGTCTATCTATCATGGTGAACAATTAGCACTGCTGTTATCGAAACTGCATCTGATTGGTTATCGTAATCTTATAGTTATGATATCTTTATTGTAAATTGTAGATTAATACGTTGTACGATATTTATGCGCTTGGTCTACAATAGGTAATACAATAGGCAGTAATAATGGATGAGGCTGTAAGAGTTAAGAAATTGCAGACCAATCACAGTCGAATGTGATGAAACAGTGAGAATAATCGACTGTGAGTCACTGTGAGTGATCATTTTCTTACTCGTTACAGTTTACAGTATCATCGTCTCCACTATTGTTATTGTAGACCACGCATAACTACTATTACTACTTCCATAATCTTACGTCTACGTTTAAGCAATTGTAGACCCCGGTTATCGGATTTGACACATATCTCATTTTCTTTTTCAGTTACCGCTTAAAACAATCAAATTGGATTTGCCAACAATAATTAAGAATGCTGCGAATAAAACTGTCTTATGGGAAACAAAATGTATTAAGAAAGCTTTTACATTTCAAAACAATAAAGGCGAAACAATTCTCAAAACAGATGGTCTAAATATAGGGGTAAATGCATATTATAAACAATTTAAGTATAAATAAAATATATTTTTCTACTTTTTCTATTCTTTTCATTGCAGGAAATGTTCAAATATGATAAAATACTTGATTTAAACAGATTATATTCTAACGATATTTATAATATTTCTCAAACATATGGAATTGAAGCCGCAAATCGAGTTATTATAAGAGAAATTAAAGATGTCTTCAAGATGTATGGCATCACCGTTGATGTAAGACATCTGTCCTTAATTGCAGATTATATGACTTTCGATGGTACATTTAAACCACTCAGTCGAAAAGGAATGGAGAATTCTGCTTCACCATTACAGCAAATAAGTTTCGAAAGTTCGCTAGGCTTTTTGAAAACGGCGACATTGCAAGGTAAGTTACATTTAGAAAAAATTATTACAGATTATGCAAAAAATTATCGCTAAATTTAAAAAATATGAAATATTCAAAACATTGCACACACACACACACACACACACACACACACACACACACACACACACACACACACACACACACACACACACACACATTATTCTCAATTATCAAAAGTAAAATAATTCAACTTCGATTTAAGTCCACCTACTAAATAGTATACTTGTCCATAAAACCAAGTCCTTGCTTTAAGAGGTCATGAGCCATAAGTTGTAAGTGACGAGATATATTGGCCACAAAACTTATACTTATAAGCTGTAAGACTTGGGTTTTGCTCAATTCGCTCTAAAAAATGGTTAAGGCCTAAATCCGAATCTATAATATTATATTTTAAGCCTTGAGCCATAAGAAATTGAAAGAATTGACCAATCACAGTTGAATGCGAGAAGAATAATCGACTATAACTCGTTCATTTCTTATGGGTTAAGGTTTAAATTTTGTAAATAAGCTAAAGACTGCGCAAAAAATACTTTAAAGACAGAAATTATTGTCACTCAATCACTTTCAGCTTATGACTTAAGGCCTCTTAAAGCAAGGTTGTGGACTGAGACTAAGATTTTCAAAGATTTTTAAAGAAATTATAATACGAGTAAAACATTAGGACACTTTTGGGCACTGCCAGTATGAGGCCTGATGGTTTCTCTTACTAATAATAAGTAGCGACTACTATTGAGTCGCATAGCCTTTATGTGGATATTTTTTTTTAATACCGTTTTCTTTTGATTGCACTAATGCATATTAAAGCTGTTGTACACTGATTTAAATTGTAGAAGTAAAATTCAAATATTTCGAATCATAAAATGCAGATTTTACTTAACAGCGCGATAAAATGTATTGAGAATTTCATGGTTTAATCTGTTTTTATACTTATATTAAATATACATTTTTATGTCAATTTGTATACGACGGTTTTAACATGTACTAGTGCAGCCAAAAGAAAACACTATATTTTATTTATATAAAAATATTAAAAAATTAATGTATATGTATATCACAAGCTTATTAAGGTGCAATTAACAATATGTCATATCTGAAAAGTACAAAAAAATATGAAAATCTCATAGATTATTCTATTATTACACGTCTGAGTGTTGTGTAAAATTTAAATACAATTCTTTTATTGATTATTAATTTAAAAATTTAATTTTTTGATTTGTCTTGATTGCTTATGTGAAACATTTTAATATTTAATTATAATGAAAAAATAATGTTAAAAATTAAATCAAATTTTTATACATATACTAATATAAAGTAATAATAAATATTCGTGCAAAAGCTATTTGTTTTCACTTACATATTTAAAAGTTATTAACTTAAAACTGCAGCAATGGTTATTTTGCTGTATAAAACCATTATAATAAAATTATTTGCTATTTTTAAGCTCAGATATTTATTGTACATGTGTTTCATATTTTATGTTAAAACACATTAGAATTATATACAGGATATCTCTTAAACTAGTAATATTTTGATTAATTTACTTTAATATTTTTATATATTTGTAACAATAATATATAATGAGAAAATATTGTTGATTAAAAAAAAATTAGACGAAAAAAATTATTATTTCTATTAAAGATATAAATGACATTACTACTCTCTATTTCTTCCATTGATTAAATTATATACATACATGTATATTTATTTGTATATTTATTTGTACATTACTTACTTATCTCTTATCATTTATAGGAAAAAAGGATGATATATTATCACCTTCGAGTAGATTGATGTTAGGACAACCGTGCAAATCTGGAACTGGGGCATTTTCTATTTTACCATCATTGTACAACATGTAAAATAATAAAATTCAATGTTCACATTGTGATTCGTAATTATATCTTATATATTTGTAAGTTCATCATACATTTTAGCAACAAAATCCATAGAAATTTTTTCATTATTGAAAAATAATGCTACTTCAATATTTTTCAATTAAAATGCGTGTACAATACGTAAACAATGCAAATTACTTTTTCTATTTAAATAGCCATTCTATATTATTTATGTAAAATAATAATTATAGCTAATCCAGTATATCATTTTTACAGTTTTTAAGAATACAATATATTTTAACATTCGTGACGATTTATTTATTTATTTGTGTTTTTGGATCATATTTTTTAATTTATCGTAATTTGCACCGGAAAAAGTCTCCAACTGAAAGCATTAATAATTTTATTTGATTAGTTATGAAATATAAATAACTAAATTACTTCATTATTTCTTTTTATAATATTAAAGCGAGAATTTTTAATATTTAGATAAATATTTTATTCGAATTTAATACATACCACTTTGCCTTCCTTTATAAAAACAAACGTAGGCATACTAGATATCTCATATTCAGCAGCAATATCTTCACATTCATCCACATCAACTTTAAGGAAAACAACATCCAACATTTCCTATATAAACAAATCAAGATATTTATGTTTTGAATTTCAATAAATCCAACTGAAACTTGATTTAATAAAAAAATTAATGTGATGTATATAAAACCTTTGACAATTCTTCAATCAATGGCCCAATCATCTTACATGGTCCACACCATACAGCAAAGAAATCGATAATTACTAAATTATTGCCTGCGTCTTTAAGTTTAATCTTCAAGTCATCCTATTAAAAAAATGAATATCAAATCAATCTTTTTCTGATAAATACATATTAATTGATGTGAATAGAAAGTACATAAATTGAAAGAAATACATTGTTTAAAATATCACATGACAGAGTTAAATGAGATGAAAAGACGCGAGAGAAAAATTATTATAATTAAAATTACTATTCAATGATAATAATACACATATTTATTAAATAAACGTAATCATACAAATAAAAATTGTAATACAAATGTTTATTCGTCTAATAGGAAGATACACAGATATCTCTACACACACACACACACACACACACGCACGCACGCACGCACACGCACATAAGTGTTAAGAAATTTAACCGACAACGCTTTTGTGGGTAGGTAAAACTAAACTGAGTCGAGAAGTTCTCTACCATTTTGCAATTTTCGCAATAGTTAAGATATTAATTATTAAAAATTGCCGAATATTAATCTTGAATAATTTTTTTCTCAAATTAACATCAATTTTTACTAGTAGAGGACTTTTCGAATCAGTTTAGTCCGTTCTATCTGCCCACGAATGTTGTCGGTTGAATTTCCTAACACCCTGTATATCTATAAACTTTAATGAACTTTCATTAGAATAAATTTACATCGAAAAAAAATTAGAAATACATCTTTTTTAAGAAGGTTTCCTTTATCGTCGTAAAAAGGTGATAAATTCAACATTATATCCATGTCAAACTTGCATTGATTGAGCGGATGGCAATTTAAAATGAAAACTTAGGTAAAATTGTTTTCGTTACAAATTTTATATTTTTGTTATAACTTTTTAAGCATTTGAAGCATTTGAAGACTTATGTACATTTATATATATAAAACATTTTTTTTCTTTTTTTAGCTCATAAATGTATTTATTTTAGCACATATCGACACGATTAAATATCTCATAAACTATCCATTTTTTTAATAATCGTATCTTAATACTTTTATACACAGAACAAGGAGATAAATCAATTGGTGTTGAGAAAACATGGTTGCTTTAAAAAGATATGTACGAAAATGAATAATTTTTTAAATATAAGCAACTATGTATTTTCTTTACACCAATTGATTCATTTCGTTATTCTATTAAGGTACTTGCAGTATTAAGGCACTATTATAAAAAAAAAAAATTAACAGTTTATGAAGTACTTAACACTTCATGTCAATATATGCCGAACCAATAGTAAATAAATAAAATAGTAAATAGTAAAATAACTTGAAAACTTGATTTTTCGATTACTTTAATACTTTTATATGCGGAATAATTAGAGAGATTATATTATACAACAAAAAAAGATTATATAAATTTAAAAAATAGTGAATTGTTCATGTGACCTTAAAAAATTGATAATTTTCAAAAATTAGTTTTATCAATATTTACGTCTTTTCAAATGTGAACTTGTATCTAAATCATTTTTCCATATTTTTCATATTTTCCGAGAAAATTGAGCCATAATGAAATGAGATACCGGAACTTTTTTGATAATCACAACAATTTGCCTTTGGCCGGTCGTCCTTGACTTGTCTTTTATTTAGTGACACAAATCGCCACAAGTATAGTTCCGTCTTTGCTACTCACGAAATGCAAAAAGAAACATTTGACAACTTGTGTCACTAAATGGAAAGTAATTGTTAACAATATCTCGATGCGCGCCATTGCTTAGAAACTAACGATTCGTTACTTTTTTCATTACTTTTTTGGACGTTAAAGTAAGAGTTAAAGTTTTCTTGTATTACACTTATATTAATCACAAAATCTGCGCTAATTATCTATATTAATATATTTATTTTTTAACATATTTATCTTTAAGAAATTAAATTATACTCTACAATGTAAAGTATAATTAAAAATCTTTATTAAACATTGTCTTTCAACATTAATGATTATAAAAGTGTATTCTAATATTCACTGCCAATATTGAAAATATATAATTCATATTACATAAACATATATTACAGATTTTCAGTATTAGCAGCGAGTATTGAAATACAGTCTAACAAGGCATAAAATATAAGACTACTTTTATTAATATAAAACATTTTTAGCCAATTACATATACACATAAAAATAATGCTATTTATTGAATAATTACAAAGATATATAATAAGGGATTGAAGTAACAACTGGTAAATTCATTACCATTAAAGATAGAAAAAATAACGATTGTTACCGAAACAATAGGGTGCCTTTTATTTAACGACACAAGTTGACATAATCGTTATTGTTGTGTCTTTCTTTTCGTGAATGACAAAGGCAAAACGATACTTGTGTCGATACTTGTATCATTAAATGGATTCACAGTAACGATAACAAAGAAAGAAAAAAAGAGGTAACGAATACTTTCCAACTTTGCTCATCGGCAAATGTGCTCAATTATTCAGGAAAAAGTAGGTATGTGACGCAACCACATTACACACATACACGTTATTTTACTACCTACTTCAATTCAATGATTCAAGTTTTTGCGATTAAATGGTGACGTAATTAAAATCGTTCACGATTGACGTAATATTGAACGAATCATCCATCTCCGCTTATAAGCGTTAAACATTCACAAGGTATGTTTCACGCTCGTTAACGCTCGCATCATTTCGTTCTTGTTTAACATTTGATGATAACAAGGATAAAATTATATCCGCGAGCGGAACAAACGTAATTGAAAATGTGAAACGCACTTTAATTAAAGTCGTTTCGCTTGAATTCGCGCTTTCGTATTATAGTTTTAATAAAAAAAAAAACCCATCTCGCGTAATAACGTAATGTAGGATCGATTGTTTTCAAGGTCGAGAACTGAAATCGAAGTATATATAGATTTCGCGGACAAGTATAATACGGCAAATGTAATGTGTTTCATGTTTGGCATATTTATATGGTATACCTGCAGTTTGTAAGTACAGATTGTAATCATAGTTTTGATGAAGTAATCTAATCTTTTTGCTTTATGATAAGGAAACGATGTTACATGTGTCGTTCGTTTTCCGTTGTTGTTCGATTTCTAATTATTAATTTAATTTATAAATCTGAATTTTGATTAATTTTAGAAATAAAAATCCATATAATCGTACAATATTACTTTGTCGGAGAACTGCAACATATATCATATCATTATTTCTTCAAATTGGTATTATACTTTTTTGCTTTTCTCCCAGCTTCTGGCAACATTGCAGTTATAGGACGGAACACGGAACGCCGCCGCCGTCGCCGCCGTTTGCTATGCGCGTGTATGTGACGTACGCAGGGTTACGCTCAAGGTTATCTTATCTCACACATCTGTATAAGCCACATTGATTGAGGATATACATTCTATTTCTCGCGGACACGGCTGATTAAATTCTTAATGTAGTAATACATAAATATAATACTACTTACAGAATTCTGAATAAGAATAACCTCTCCTTCGTGACCCATTATTGTTAAATTAAAGTCAGTGGCGAATTTCCTTTTAAAAGAGCAAGAACGTTACCGAACGTTACCAAGCGTTACTGGTTACTACTAACGATCGCTGCTGACGCTCATTGACTATTGCTGACGTCTGACGTTAAAGGTGCATTCTCATGTGGCCGATGGCGAAGGAAAACTGAGGTTGAGACATTTTAACTTCACACTCCACTCCATCACAATCAAAGCAGTATTAAAAAAATCCACATTCAAATGTCCGTTGTTCTATAGTAAGGCTCTGCGCACAATAGAAGGAATTAGGAATAAAGAATAAACAATTTCAACCTTTCAGAAACCGATGTATCCGATTTCTGATAGGTTAAAATCGGAATTTATTCTTTATTCCTTCTATTGTGCGCGCAGGGTTTAACGCAATTATAGTATTTCCCTAGCTTTTCGTATACGTTTCTTTTCAAGAATAAAGGCATCTAGATTACGTTCCAAAACTTCCTCTCCGAGAAAAATTTTACTTGAAATATATAGTACACGTAACGTATAGCATATAGAGTAAAATCTTCCTCGGAGAGGAAGTTTTGGAACATAGCCCTATTCTGTAAGATTCATTAAGACAGTAATGACATCTTTGCGCAGCTTTTACTATAAAATATCAGCACAACGATGATGTTAATAAGTCTGTTCGACTTGATTACACCTTTTACATTCGGCATCTCCACTTTCTCTCTTTTCAACGTCAAATATATAGCTATCTCATTTTAAGTGTAAAATGTAAGCAAGTTGAACAGACCAATAGTCTTAATGAGTTACAGAATAGGGTCACAGTGCTCCTATTCCATCGAATTATAACAATTATACAACTGGAAAAACACACTGCCGTGCTAATGCATTAGTTGAAAGAATGTGGAAAACGTGGACGAGATAGTACGAAGTAATTTAACGGGTATCTTTCTCTTTTTAACTGCGCATGCGCATAACGTAACGTTACATTCATACTTAAAAATTAAATTCATTTCCTTTTTTTTTCTGTCTTATATCTAGCTAACATAATTCTTATCAATATATTACAATTATTATCTTCATCTGATGTATATCTATGTAATTTATTTTATTCATACAATGCTTTTGTTTTAAATCACTCACATATCTATCCTTATTTATCGGTATTTAAAAACTTGACTGTACGACAAAGAGAGGTATACCCGCGATTTACTGACTCTTTCGGCAAGGAAACTTGACAGAAAAATAACAGTAAAGGGTAAAAAACAGCAGAATTCAATTCTCTACTTTAAAAACAAATTCTCTACTTCAAAAATATCAAAATTATATATAAGGAAATAATTTAAAGTACAGTTTTTAAAATACAGATTTTGTGTTTGTAAAACAGAGAATATGATTATTATTATAACAGAGAATTATGATATTAAAAAAAATTACCCTTTTATATTAATTAAAATTTAGATCTAACATTTTTTAAGCAGCTTTTTTTACCAGATTCTTTCATTTCGAACAAAAATGTGTTGAATGAATCTGATTTCAAAATTGGAGGTACAGTCCGTACTCTAAATAGTTACCATATTTATCTTTTTACAAATTATAAGCTAGATTAATTTCAAACATTATGTTAGACAGTTTAAGACAAATAAACCTTAAGTACTGCCTTTTCAAGTTATTTATAGTTATTTATAGTTGTTAAGAACTACTGGTAATTCTTCAGACGATAATTCCTCGCATCTATAATTTTGCATTGCCTGTACAGGTTTTTCAGAGGAACATATTCTATTAATCTCTGAAATCAGCTCTGATGTTGGTTTTAATATCGTACGATTAGCAAATGTATCTTGTAGAAGCATTTGATTATCTAGTAGTTTATTTATGACTGTATCACTTGTATCAATAGAATGAGCTGGACCATAATCTGGCCTCTTTGGTTTTTCTTCTGTAATATAAATAGAATAATAAGAGAAAAATTATTAAACTTTAAAAGAAATAAAAAAAGTTTTATACATATATAATTATAAACTTTACGTTTTAATATATCACATGCCACATAATCAGCAGCTCTAAATAGTTCTGCTTTTATAAGAAGTTCTTGTAATAATTTTAATGTTGGTCTTTTTTTCTCCATAGTACTCCACTCATCCAAAAATATTTGAGCTGCGTTGCGTTTATCGCTATTTGCCATTTGTTCAATGATGCTAATCAATGGAATGATTACAATGATGTATTATAATGTAATAATTAAAATAATTATTATTTTTAATAATAATCTTAAGAAAAATATAATGCATTTAATTTCTAAAAATCTTTTCATAATGCTAACAAAAAAATACACTGAAAAAAATACACTGAAGTATCTTTCGATTTCGATGGACTTTTAATATAGATATCTGAATTACTACTGTACAATGTAGTATACTGGATAATTTGATAAAAAATTATCTAAACTTGATATCTATTAAAATCTTATAAATACCTTATAAGTTACCTGATATGATCACTACTAAATTTGGGAATATTTCCTTCTTTAAGGACAATAGACATTAGTTTTTTCCACGAATCAGAAATGCTTAATATACTTGCTAAAGTATATAATTCAGCAGGCTTCAATTTTCGTATTTCCATATCCAAATGTGCTTTATAAGACATTTTCAGCGATACTATATAAACAATATAAAACAAATTTTAACCGAAATTATAGAGGTTATTTTCAGATATTTACTGTAAATGGTCGCGTTCAATACGCGAGTATTGAAACGAGTAGACTCAACCACTTGCAACGCAACAAACCTCTTCTAGTGGCGTAAAAAATATTTTTTATATCATTACGCCCGTATCGCCCAGCTGATTGGTTGCTGCTTCCGTGAGTTCCGCTTACTTCCGCTACTTGACGCTTGACGTTTGCATGTGAATGCTTAATGATACCTGCATGCTTAAATGTGATAGCTACTGATCTGGATCGCTATACCATCGACTGATGGCATTGATCGCGATGTCGTAAATCGTCCATCGTCCCCGATTGGCAATTTGGCATCCTTGATTTCTATGCTATACATATATGCATTGCAGTGATGCGAATTATTCCCACACGGGAATATTCGTGCGCATGCGTAAGCTGCCTTTACAATTTCATATTGGCTGCTTTCACATCGTATCGGTGATACGCATGCGCACAAACATTCCCGTGTGGGAATAATTCCCACGACAGCGCATCACTGATGCATTGTATAATCGATGGTAGTTGTCAGTACCAGTATTGCACATCATTGCCTGACAAGTGTCTTTTGTCAATTCACGAAATCTCTATTTGATCAAGTAATACTGTAATCTGTATCTTTTTTAATTAAGGGAATTAATATTAAAAATGGTAAGTATTCAATTAATTATCGGTACATTGTACTTCGATACTTCTATAATCATCATTGTAATTTAATCATCATTGTAAAGAAGTTCACAAAACTACTAATTTTTATGGTTATGTACATTTGCACATAGTAATGTAGAAATACACAACTATTAAAGACATAGAAAAAAAGTTTAGTAATCTAACCATATGAAAAATGTATGTAACTCATTGTTTAGAATAATATTTATTGATTAACATATACAATTACTTGTATTAAATGCTTTTAAATCATGTAAATGATTTTTATTAATTTGATTATTGAATATGTTTCTTAGTTCCGCAATCAGTACGATAGTGATGTAACAGTATGGAGTCCACAAGGACGACTACATCAAGTGGAATATGCTATGGAAGCTGTAAAATTAGGATCAGCTACTGTAGGTCTTAAGAGTAAAACACACGCTGTTCTTATTGCACTGAAAAGAGCATCGTCGGAATTATCAGCTCATCAGAAAAAAATCATACCGATAGACAAACACATGGGAATTAGTATCTCAGGTTTAACTGCTGATGCAAGAATATTGAGGTACTTTGTATTTTCTCATTCCATTCTCTATTTCGATTCAAAGATACAATATCCTTGTATGTAATAAGATGTCCATTTTAATTATGTCTTAATCCTTTCTCTGTAGTAAAGTTTGCCATCACTATGTTATATTTATTATATTTTGATGAATAACATCTGTTATCTTGTTATATTATGCAATTTTATTGATTTCTCCCGTTTAAGTTATTTCAAATTATTAATGTTTTCAATAAAAATATTAATATTTTAAGCAACAAGTATTTTTAATATGTATATAAAAGTAATTAATTTTTAATTTTATTTATATCTATCTTGGCTGTATCTTGTAATGTTTGTTGCTATGCTATGATAGTTTTAATGATCAGCCTAGATATAGGTTTGTGCAGGAGAGAAAAAAGGATTCTCTACATAGAAGTCATAGATTCCACAACCATCTACAACTTCTATATAGAGGACCCTTAAGAATACAAAGTGTTTCAATAAGCGTAATGATGATTAAAAGCAAATTATTTTTCGCAGCCGTTATATGCGAACTGAATGCCTGAATTACAAGTATGCTCATGATCATGCGTTACCTGTAAGTCGTCTGATTACATCTCTGGGAAATAAAATGCAAACGTGCACGCAAAGATATGATCGGCGCCCGTACGGCGTCGGTTTACTCGTAGCTGGATATGATGTGAGAATTTATTGAAAATAGTGTATAATTCAGTATATGCTAAACATGTTTCTCTAATAAGTCGCTTCCTAGGACAAAGGACCGCATATATATCAGACATGTCCATCTGCAAATTACTTTGACTGTAAAGCGATGGCTATAGGCGCACGTTCCCAAAGCGCAAGAACATATTTAGAAAAACACCTAAATGAATTCTTGTCGTGCGACCTTGACGAATTAGTCAAGCATGGTCTTAGAGCATTACGTGACACTTTACCTAACGAAGTTGATTTATCAGTAAAGGTAAGTACTTGACTAACTCATATATTATTAAAATAGGTTTCCAGAATGAAGTATATCATTGTTATCTCATGCTCCTTCATACGATTTATGATCTTTAATTTTTCAATAAATTTATAAAATGAAGGCTTCAAATGGAATGAGGATTGGAATCAAATCTAGGACTCATAGATTGAGTCAATTGTTCTCACACAACGCCATATGTCATTCCATGATCTGACAGTTAACTGGTTTATATAATTCCAAGTTCAATTTTAGTCTATCATTGCTTTTATCTTTACAGGGCAAGATTGAATCAAAGATATGCTCAGACAAAAATTATATGGCTTATCAGAGCACAAATAGTGTAAAATCGATTTTTGAGGGTTATATAAAAATCATAGCTATACATTTTTTTTTAGTATGATTCCTCCAATTACTCTGTTCAAATTACTAAGGCATTTAAAGATATCGAAAAATTAATCGTTTATGAAATATCTATTTTGGCACATTTTGACATAAAATATTTTGTAAACTATTCAGTTCTCGATAATTCTACGCGTTAATACTTTTGTGCATAGAATAATGAGATAAATCAATTTATATGAAGAAAAACATACATATATAAGAAATTCACATATATAAGAAATAAGTATATATCCGAAATTCGAGGGTAATATTATTACAGCGTGAAACTTTGTGAAAAATTAAGTAATAAAAGTGTAAGCTACTTGTTTTCCATAAAGTAATTTTTTCAAGTATAAACGTTTAAAATTTAAAATTTTATTAATAAGTCTTAATTAAAAAAGTCTATCCGTAATGATGTGCATGCAACGGCAATGATTATGTTTGCACCGATACCTTTAATCGGGTTTAATGACATACATAGTTATGAAACTGTCCAGTCATAGCTATTTCACTGAAGAATGGGATGACTGTGATTGGCCAGATTTTCTAACTATTGTGATGTTATCAAATTCGATTAAGTGGTCAAAGATCATGTTTACATGACTTTTCATAGGTTATAATTCAAAAATTATTTGATCTCTCGACATTTCCACATTAGAATTTTTTTTACTCCAGAATATGCTAGTGATATATAGTATGGTGTATATCACAATACTGCGTATTGTGATATACTACGTACTGCATATTGTCATATGCGGTATGTGCAGTATATTGTAAAATATATCTGCTATAAGAATCTTATTATACTTATTATACTAATTCTAAGAATCAATTTTGATTTCAAAAGGGAACATTAAATCTTGCTTATGTTTCAGAATGTATCAATTGGGATAGTAGGAAAGGATTATGATTTCACTATTCTCAATGAAACCACGACAGCTAGTTTCTTGTCCCAGATTGAAGGAGATGATAAACGTGGAAGACCTACTGAACCAGCTGTGCAAGATGACAAACCTCCGCAAGATCCGCCAACCGACGAAGGTGCTCAGGATCCTCAAGTCTCCATCGCCATGGACACAGATTAAATTAATATATATAAACTTTAAACTTTATATGCATTCAATTTATATATAAATCTGCATTTTCTGATTAAATATCTCAATTTTTTCATAAATCTACTACATGAAGAACATCAGTTTATATAACAGTAATATATATTGTTATTCGGGTCATTTTATCATTAGATTGTTGTAGATGATTTCTTTTCGTGATGTTTTCGAATTCATTATTTATATTGATTTCCTATTTTGTATCTCGATTAAACATCTATCTACACTTAAACATTTTTTTTTCATTCACGATGTAACATCATCAATCTGCTGTTTCTTCCGTTGTTTTAATATATTTGTTAAAAAGTATTCTCCGGCTTTATAAGATGACCGAACTAATGGTCCACTGGCAGTATACAAGAAGCCTAGTTGATTCCCCATATTTTCCCACGCTTTAAATTTCTCAGGTGTTACATACTCAATGACTCTTAAGTGTCTTTTAGTAGGTTGCATGTACTGTCCCAATGTTATAGCATCCACATCAGCATCCTTTAGATCTTGCATAGTTTGTTCGATTTCCTGGTCAGTTTCACCTAGCCCCAGCATTATCGACGATTTCGTAATCAAATCAGGATTTAACTTTTTAGCTGCTTTTAACACAGCCAATGACTGTCTGTGTATAGTAAACGACAAATTAATTCGAATTAACAAACGTAAGTATTGTATTATTAATAAATATCTATTTATGTATTATATATGGATATATATACAGGGTGTTTTTAAAGTCCACCCACGAATCATATAGCGCTATTTCTGATGAAAACTGAGTCAAAAAGTCCTTAACAATTTTGCAATTTTCACAATAGTTGATGGAATAATATTAATTTTTAAAGAAATTTTAAAAAAATTGCCGATCTGAATTGAAAACTGATCTTTCGCAGCTTATTAAAATGTCTCATCGTCAATGACTCGCCGATTCAGCACTCTTCTGTTTTCAAATCATCACGCATATTCTCGCACCGCCTTTCTAGCATTACTGTCGCAAATCATACAAAAATTATGTCAGCGTTAGAATATTATGTATGCCCACGTATTGTGACGGGAGTAATTTACTCAATGGTTTTTGATGAGTAACTGACGAATTTATAGGAGGGATAAACAAAAATGTTTTTATCAGAAAACGAAATATTATCGTTTTGATGTACGACTTCAGCGATAATGCTTCAGAGATAGAGTGCCGATTTCCAAACAGAAGAGAATGCCGGATCGACGAGTCGTTACATTACGTTGACCAGATCAGTTGGTGATATACGCTGTCCATACAAGATGCAATGCGTGCATTGCTGCAAAAAGCCAACATTTTGAATAATGTTTGCATTAAGCAAGTGACAATATGAATAAATAAGTGTGAATGAACAAGTAAATGAATAAATAAGTACAAAAATCAAAACATTTTGTCTCTTTCTGTAATTTTCTCTAAAACGAGCTTTAAATATTTCTAAAGGACTTTCTTTTTAGTTTATCGATTTTCTACATGCTTCCGAGATTTGACCATTTAATAAATTCAGGAAACCTTATATATATAAGTATTATAAATGGTACATACCTATATCGAGCACGCATATCACGAACAAAGGGAGTTAAACGCTCTACTGTTTCGATATTATGTGCAAACACATCCAAATTAGAATTTACAATCGTAGCAATGCAATTTTCATCACCTCTGAAATCTGGTACCAAGCATTCCACTAATATATTGCTCCTATGAATAAAACGAATCTAGTAATTAATGTTCAAATCATATAACATTGCAAATCATATGGAAACATGAAGTATTTCTACAATGCTATATAATTTGAACACTAATTACTAGATTCGTTTTATTAAATAAAAAAAATAACTATGCAGATAAAATACCTCTTTTTTATTTCCTTAACAGTAGATGCAATATGGTTAGCTCCACCATCCTTTAAATCTGAAATAATAAATGAATGAATGTTTTCTGTTTGGTTCATGACATCTTAATGACCGGCTCAGACTTTTGCATAACGCATAGTACATAAAAATCAACCAATTAAAGTTTCTTTTCCGTGAAGTGAAAGTCGCGGCCTTTAAGATCTTAAATATAAAATCCGACTATGAATACTGGCCTAAAATAGTACAATTTAATTTTATAGTCAATGACTGGTTGCGTTCAGCAGAATATAATATTTTGCAATTGTTGAAGGTTTTCTTCGTGTTGATTGGAGATTATACTTTTTTAGATCTGCAGATATAACCCAATCCAGGGGAAGAAAACAGTTGCAAAATAAATATTCTGCCGAACACAACCATTAATTTGTAACTAACCATCACGATCTACGGATGTTAAAACAATATAATCCAAATTCCAGGCAGCTACTGCGCTAGCAGTATTGATGGGCTCCTCTACATCCAACGGCGGTGGTTTACGTGCAGTTTTGACAGAGCAAAAACGGCAGCCACGAGTGCACGTGTCTCCCATTAACTAAGAAAATAAAGGATGTGTATCAATTGGACACAAGCCAATAGCGTACAAACCAATTAGCGTTAGAAAAAAAAATAAGGAAAAACTTATGCAGAAGTCGCTATTGATTGATGTTTACACGGTATCCTTAATCGGATTTAATGACATCTGTAATTATGAAATTGGCTAATCATAGTTCCGAAGAATGGAATGACTGATTGGTTAATTTCATAATTATGGATGTTATTAAACCTGATTAAGGGTACCATGTAAATGTAATCATTATTGACTGACAGCGGGCAATTATTACAGTGTGCAAGTAAACCAAGAATCAATCTATTAGCTTGGCACAAGAATTCGGACTGAATGAAATTTTGATATGATTGATCAATTTCTTAAGGTTTGGGGCTACTATAGCTATTGTGTTTGCGGGATTAAGGCTTAACTATACACTGCGTTTGCGGAATAATCTCTTTCACCACTCACTGATATGCTAACCGACGATTACATGAGTCACTGAGAACACGCCTCGTCAGTTAGTTTAACTGAGGTTGATGAAAGAAACTTTGAAATTAAGATTGAAGATTGTTCAATCACACTGTAAATTGTAACCAACAGCAGTTAAGATTGAGATATTTAGTAAGAGTGTGGAACAGAGAGGTTCTCGGATCTCTCTGTTTTGCAGCCAATTAACAGGCTTGAAAAAGCCTTGTCGATCGCTATATGAAATATCAGATCATACTGTAAACACAGTAATAAGCTTTAAAAAATTGATCGCTCAAAGTCGAATATGAAAAGAATAATTGGCTATGATTCCGATCGATCCCCTGAGGCTGGAATCAGATTAGGTATTGAAGATTGATATTTGTATCAATCGACTCAAGCAGGTTTGTATCAATCTGGATTGGATTATTAATGATGTTGTGTTTTCCTATTGATAGAACACATGTAACATCAATCAATAGCAGTTTAGTGATAAATAGAACAATATCCAATCTAAATTGGTGCAAATTCGCTTTGATAAAAAAATGCTACAAGATTGAAGATTGAAAGATTGATCAATTGAATAATATATGTATAAGAGCTAAAATTGTCCTCATTGATCAAATCTCAATTTTTCATGCAATTCACTTAATCAGGACGAAGAGCATTGGTGTCCTTTGTTTATTATACAGACCATAATAGTGGCTGTTGCTGTACCATGAGTGCTTCCACCCCAGCATTCCCCGATGTTAGGACACCTGGCTTCTTCGCAGACCGTACTTAGTCGTAATTGCCTCAGTTGCGCCTTTATCTTACTGTAACTCTTTCGCACAGGTATCTCTGTTTTCAGCCATGGCGGCAGTTTCAGCCGTCCTGACTCACCTATCTCTAATTTTAACTTGCCATTATATTCTTTAACATTGTTTTTGAGAAAGTCGTCAAATTGTGGACCTTTCGCTAGTTTCTCGGAAAATCCTTTGTTAGTCTCTGTTGAAGCTTGCGCACACTGAAATATTACAGTTTCGTTAGAACCATTTCAGATATGAATATTTACATAATTCAATATTGCGATGACTAGGGTTTAAGACTAGCTAGAAATGTCTAAACACATTCCGGAAGTGAAACAAATTGTTGAAATTTACTGCCGGGTAAAAGTGGCAACTGAAGATGCATTTGGAATTTCTGGTTTTGATTGTTCGTAACATGTTTCTAGTGTGTATAAACGATCTTCCTATTCGACAACAATGATTTTCGCTCCGTCGTCAGAGCTAATTATCGATCAGTATATTTACGTTTTTATGGTGAAAAATCATATATCAGCTATAAAGAAAAGACGATTAGAAACGATTCATGTAATGTTTTTCAAGAAACGAATTTTATCAAGAATGTGTTTTTACTCAAAGATTTTACCTTTCTCACTGATTTCGATGAAATTATACTCATTCGACGCGTTTTTGCGCAAAATAAACGACTTTAACAGAAAAAATATTGCTCCTATGAACCGAGATAATAAGCGTTAAAGTTGACGACTATTCAGGTTAGGAAATCTGTCACAGTCATGCAACGATAGATCTATCGCGTTGCTTTGCACTTTTGGCTTGCATTCGACATTCTTCACTTTCTCTCTTCTCAAGGCGAAATACGTATTCTATCTCATTTTAAATGCAGAAATATTTGGGAATTTCATGCAACGCGAATAGACTTATTGAGCGCATTCAGATAAGCAGATAAGATAACCACTCACTGAACTCTCAAGCTCAGTTAACATATTAACAGTTTTTGCTAAATACGACAGACTCATGGCCTATAATATGAACAATAATCTGAAAAAGTTCGCACCCAGTGTGCATTAGCATGCACTTAGTGCAGTCTTCATTTGCCCCGAATTTAATCGGAGTATTAATCGGAGTTGGTAATGATGAAGCTCTTGATGATGAGCGTATTAACTAGTAACTTTCCATTAAATTATCTTATTTTTAGTAATGTATTTAAAGATGTACTAAACCGGTAAAATATGCATCAAAATGATTAATTAAATTACTCATACCATATATATGTTTGCACGTATCGCTAAAATTGAGATAATTCAATAGAAAGTTACTAGTTATAATACTCGTATAGTATTCTGTAATTCTGT